CTCACGAACAAATTTTTTTTCTGGTCCACCTTCTAATTTATACATAACAGGTTGACCTTCACGAATTAAAGTACTTTTAATCCGATAAATCTGAGAAGACCAATTTTTATCTGTAATCCGTCTTATAGGTAGACTATATTCTAATTCACTAGGTTTAAGTAAATATCGAACAAAATCTTTATAAGACAAACGTGGTTCATCAAATCCAACAGGTCTTCTATGTTTTACTGCCGGCTCTGCAAATATTTTTTTACCTTTTAATGCTCTTTTTATACCCTCATTAGGAGTCTAGTAACAGTATTATTAAAAGTATCATCATTTATGCGAAGGCCTTTAACCCAAGCTCTACATCTCTCAGTTAATGGTAAATGAAAATCTACAGCATCTTGTCTATAAAAAGCATGTTTTTCAAATTCTTGATAATCATGCTCAGCGATAGCAACACCTTACTTAGTTACAGCATACTGAATTTTTACACCATGGCTAAGTAATAAATTTTTGCACTTATCTAAGTATTCAGTATCTTTATCCACAATTAAAACTTTAGGCCAGATAAGGGGGCAATTCGGATCACTATAAATTTTTGTAAACATTTTAGCTAATGATATTGATAACTTATTAGTTAAAGCATAACTTTTACAGAATCTAGTTGCTATATCTTTTATTACTCCTCTGTGCTTATAAATTCGATTGCCAATTTTATCATAGGGTATGGGAGTAGTATCTGATTGATGTATTTCATTTAAATCATATATACTATTAAAAGAAGCATATTGAATAAACTTAGGATGAGGCTTATGAATCTGAAAAATAGCTTGCTTGTTTAACCAATCTTTTATCACGGCTAATGAAAAATTATATCCAGCCTTTCTACATGCATCCTGCATTTTTTCAGCAGTCCGATAATAACCTTCAGGCTTATAATATAGTTTCTGCATTATGATCTCCCTATCCAAATCATGGGCCTTCTGTAGGTTAATATAAATCACAGGTTTCTCCATTCCCCGCCAATTCGTTTTCTCATTGTTGGGATTATATAGTATAATAAAAAATAGTTAACAATATATATCTGGGCACGAACTTGTGAGTGGACAGCATTATAGTCAATAAAAACAATGGATGAGTTACAACAAACTAACCAAGAACTCTATGAGGTGGTATCGCAATTAGCTGAATCAAATAGAAATTTCGAACAGTGACTATATACCTTAGAAAGAGTTATAGGTATACGGGAAGAAAGAATACGATTTCTTGAAGAAGAGTTAGGTAATGCTATAGAACTTTCTATACAAGAAAAAGAAAAATTAACAGAAGAAATCTCAAAACTAAAAAGAATCATTCATCAGCTTTAAGAAGAAAATAAAAAGAAAGACAAGAAAATCTCAAATAAGAATAAGTTAATATCAGAATTCGATGAACGTGAAACAAAATTAAAAACCAGAATACGAGAAATATCAAAATCAGCTGAAAATACACCTAAAGCACAAGATTATACAACCAGATTAGTGGATGAGAATGAATATCTTAAACGAGAAATAAATACGGTAAGAACAAATCAAATAAATAGAATTAGTAAAATAAATCAGCAAAAAAATCGTATTACAGAACTGCTTTGTCAAAATTTTGCATTAACATTATTAAGATATCGAGATAGATTAGAACTTATAAATACACGAGAGGTATTAGAAAATGCACAAGCATGAAATTATAATGAAGATGAATCTAATTCTGATGAAAATTCTCAAGATAATTATACTTTTGATTTAGATATGGGCACAATAGCTAAATTGGCCGATGCTATAGACAGATTCTTAAATGATATAACAATATGTAAAACCGTTTTAACAAATTAAATTAAAAGATCAACAAGATCAATTTGACGTAAATATGCTAACTTGCAACAAGATCTGGTGAACGAATGATAGAATCGTGATATATACAGGCAGGAGCGAGACCTGGCATTGCTTGAACTTCATCAGTTATGGACTAATGCTCAGAATCAAGTAAACAGAATGATAAATAATATAACAATAAAGCAAACCCATATCGGTGCATTGCTATATAAAAATTTTGCCTTCCAGTTATTGTATTAGCGAAATTCCTGCCACCTACAACGATGCAGAGCCGATAAAGCTTTGCTAGAATATAATCGAGATAGGTTATATGAACGATATGAGAAGTAGAAAAATAAGACTCATACAGAGTGCCAAAATATTTTAATTTTAAATTAACAAATTTTGGCGCATCATAATAATCCACCAAATCAAATAAACATGGCTAATGCTAGACATTTACCGGTATTAAAATTAATGGCTCCTGCTTTTGCAAAATTTCCACCTTATACGGGCCAAGAACCATCTAATGATTACTTGAATAAAGTTATTCAATCATGGGCATATCTTAAAGGGCATATGACGGTTCTTGAGAATGCAAATGCAGAAGATTTTGACAATGCAGTCAAGTGTAATATTTTAAAATCTATAATGGGTAGAAAATATGTTCTAGTATTAGCAAATAATAATCTTGAAGTAGGAAATCCAGCTATAAATTCTCCAGATATATTACGGGCTTGGATGAGAGCAAAATACCAACAGGAGACAGTTGGAAATCAGCAATCAGCTATACAAAGATTGACTCAAGAAAAATACCAACCTTATGATACTTCAGATACTTATGAAGCTAGAGTTCGACCACTATTATTAGGAGTGGCAGACAACAACGTGCAAGTTATAGGATTCCTTAAAAGCCACTTAATGGGTGATTTTTACACTTAGATGAGAATAGCTAATCCAGCAGACATTAATGCATTTTTCACCGAACTAAAAAACATGTGGCTGGAGCGCGCACCAAATTTGAATAGTCAAGTTTCTTAACAATCTTCCTATAACACCAAAATAATAGAAGCTCCTATAATTCTGCAATCAGTATTTCCTATACCTGATACACAAAAAATGATTGATAAGGCATTAGCGAAACAAAAATTCAATTATGATGCTAAGATAGAAAAATTGAGAAAGGAAGTTCAATCCTCAAAAGCACAGAAAACACAGACACCAGTTCCACAAACTATTGAACCGGTTAGACAACCAAGGGGCCCCCTATCAAATTTAAAAACAGAAAAAGATTATGAAAATTATTATATAGTGAAATACTTTAACGATTTAGGTATATATAGTAAAGAAGATTTAGATTCAAATTATTCTAAAAAACCTTTTCAAAAATCTTATCCACAGCAAAAAAATAACTCTATTAGATTAGAGGAGAAAATGGACGAAATTGGGCATATGTTATCTCATCTTAATATAAACAATCAATGCAAAAAACTGATAGCCAAATCAAATCGAACACAACAATATTATCCTTTTCAACCGATAAATTATAACTCTTCAGCTAATAATAAAAATAGTGGTGTTATAGAACGAATTAATTATTAGTTTATTATTTTATTATTTATTATTTATTAATTATTATCTTAGAATATTA